TAATAATAATCGGTTTCTTTAGTCTCGGATTCAGACAATCGTCTTCCAAGAAAAGCTAAAGTTGACAAAAGAGGAAGTAGACGATATCATTGGTGCTTCCAATCATGATGTCAGACAAACCATATATAATCTTCAGCTTTTGGGTCGTGGTGGCAAACAAGAAATTCAAAAAAAAGATGTGGCAGTGGTATACTTTTGCTTTTTTTTAATTAGGTATTATTTATTTCATGGATTACTATACTGCGTTTTTCTGTTTTCATTTTGAAAATAGTAGAGGAGTTGCAGAATCTTTTCGAAGCTGCTCGTCTTCTTCTGAACACTGGTAATGGACTTTTTGAAAAGGAGAGATTGTTTTTCGTCGATTACTCGATAATGCCCCTTTTTGTACAGGAGAATTACCCAAATCTTGTGCCGACTAATGCAAGGTATTTTTACAGTAAGCTCTGAACTATGCACAATTATTTATTTATAGAACATTTGGCCACGACTGTGGTAGAATGATGAAAAAATTATGACGTTTATCTGGTTGGGTTTTACAATGCTTAATTGCTGAAAACAATTTTTTTTGTCTATTTTTCTGACGACTTTTTATAAAAAATAGTGTTTTTAATTTATGAGGGTCCTGTGGTTTTGCTGTGACACGTTAATTTCAGAATTAAGTGCCACAGGGTTGCTCAAAATTGCTTGCCTTATTTTTGAGTTTTTTTGGTTATTGGGGTTCTGAAACACTTTTGTCTGTAATCTCCTCAAAGTGCTGCCATTTTTGAGCCAAACTTAGCGAAGCGTTTTAGCAAAAAAACGCTCTTGAATTCATTACGGCGAGCTGCGGACAGCATTTCCACTGGTGACCTTACAGACAGAATTATTCGGAGTACCGGGTCCTGGTCACTTTTAAAAGAACAAGTTTGTTTTACTTGTTATCACTTTTGAATTTTTTCTGAAAGTTGCAATTTCATTTATTTCAGGCTTTGTTTTCATCAATTTTGCCATCAATTTACATGAACGGTTATTTACGCTCAATAATAAACTTTCCTAATTGGCTGGGAAAAAACTCATCAGCAAATAAATATCGGCGTTTATTGGGGCAGCTAGAGGCACACACTTTTCATAAGTAACTAGATATCTTTTCTGCTTAATTTTTTGTGAAATGTGCTGAAAGACAGCAGTGGTGGAGAACCGGTCACTTCATTAGACCACATAATTGTCTTAACCTAATTGTTTTTTCACTGTTCTGCATGTTTTAATTTTATTTTTAGAGGTCCTTCCAAGAAGGCACATTTTTCAGGATTTTCGCAGACTGTTGCTCATTGGTTACCGAGTATGTGCCAATGATGAGGGACGGGTTATCACTTCCTTTGATCCGAAAGGAGAATGCTGGGATCCCGTAAATTGTTTCTTAGCTTCCGTCTATTCGTAGGATTCATCACAATATTGTCTTTTTACTGTGATTTGCAAGTTTACTAAATTGTTTTCTAAATTAAGCGTACTTGTTTTTAAAATTTATAAAATGAGACATGGATAAATAATAATATTTCCATGAAATAGGTCAGTTTTTTCATATAGAGATGTTGTGGCGATGCTGGATGAATACGACCTCACTCGTGAGGACTCTGATACCATAGCGGATGTTGGAACATGGTCAGAAATGGAGGATTACAGGAAAAAAATCTCGACCAAAGTTTGATATTTTTATTTTATTTCACTTTTTATGATAAGACGCCTTCTTACCGGCTAATTCATTTGAGGTTAAATCTGCGCTTACTCGGACAATCAATAAACATTCTCACTCATTACCATACTCGATGGATGAGGTGCCAAAGAAGCGTGCCCGATATGCAGGTAGAACTGTTGCATGCTACGTGTAATTAAAAGTTTCCTCTTGATTTGACCTCTGTTTGAGACGTTAGACCGAAAATACCTTTTATTTGGTCCTTTCTTTTTAATAATTTAGCTGAACCCGAGCTTGAAATTGATGAGGAAGGAAATCTTAGAGAAGTGAATGATACTGACGAGCTTAATGAGGAAGAAAAAGGAGAAAATGATTCGGAGGTCTCACTACCTGTCGGCAAACCTCCTGCCCCAAAATCAGAGTCAAGTGAGTATAGTGGTTTTTTTGTTACCTTCTCACCCAGTATACAGTTAAATAGGTGATGATTATTTGCATCTCACTGTTTTGTTTCTTACTAATCTAATCGTAGGTCGCGGGAGACGAGGCACGGGTAGAGGAGGCAGCCACCCTGGAAGAGGGTCAGGACCCAGAGGAGGCCATTCTAGAGGCAGAGGGAGGGGTCGTTGAGATATACTTCACGTAGAAGTCATGGACATTGTTTACTTGACAAATAACATGTTTGTATTACCGACCACCTACACTTTTGGAAAGGCTTTTGTTTTAATACTGTGCCTTGTGTACTGTTTATACGTTGGGATACTTCTGTTGTAGCCTTAACACTAGTATTTTTCTAAGTTTTGATTGATCTCAAAATAGACGGGGGTGTTTTTCTCTTAGTGCTAATGAAGAAGAAGCAAGGATATGATCATTAATTTCAGATTTGTTTACTGATATCCACAAGATGTTTTCTAGCGTTTATTTTGTTAACGTATGCTAGTTTTTTCGTTGTCTTTTATTTGCGCTTTAGCGATTTTGAAATGGTAGCTGTAAAATATGTTAAGGGCATAACGTAATTTTTGAAAGTATTGAGTAAAACGGGTTTTTACAGAATCATTTCCCACAACTGTGAACCAAGGTCGACTCTACAGGGCTCTGTTTTAGTTTGGTGGCGCCATCGCTTCTGTTGGTTTTTAATGAAACAGAGGCGTGGTTCTTACAATTACGGTTCATCCATTCGCTGAAAGGAAAAGGAAACCACCAAACTAAAAGAGTGAAGTTTTTTTACCCTGGTGGCTTTATATCAATCATATGCGATAGCCACGTTTTCTGAAGCACTGAGGGTTGAAAAGGTTGGGGGAGGTGGGTGTCGTAGTTAAGTGATTTGTTTGCTTTTCTTGTGGAACTATCTGGGACTATTATTTTTGGTTGAGGTTCTCATTTGCAGCAACTGTTGCATGTGTACATAAACAGATACTCCAAACACTTTAACCTGCCCTCTTTGTTGGGCAATTAATTCCTTTTGTTATTCGCAAAAACTGCATCTCAGCTGCTGTAAAACTGTAGTAGTGTGTGCATTCAACCTTAGTTAATAGGCTGCTATTTGAGCAGCTTTACGGGGCATCATTTTTCTACTCTCTAGTTTAGCATTCTCTTCTGTAATAAAAATGACGATGGTAAAAAGTTGTAATTTTAGGATATGAAGTTTAGAAAAGATGATTACAGGGACTCTGGTTAAAACTTGCTTCAATGCCAACAGTTCTGAAGAATATTTCTATCTCTTAAGAATGAAAAAACGCTTTCAGCTTTTAATAATTTTTAGCCAAGCAATTATTGTCTTTCTGGTAAAAAAGCGTTAAAAAAATTTTTTTGTTTTTCCATCCAAAGATGAAGAATACTGTCGTTTTCCAAGAAAGTAAATCGAAAGTAAGAAAGAGAGTTGATTGCTAGACCGTCATGATCGCTACTGATACTGAAAGACGATTACAGTTGACTTTTGCATAGAAAGCTTTCCTGCCTTAGTTTTTAAAAGTAACATCTGTTTGGTACCATTTCTCACGCAAACCATTAAGCAGCGTCTAGCATCTTCCTGACGCCGTTGAAGTTGCTTTCTTAAGACAACTAGTTTACAGCTTTCACTATGTCGTATTTTTTTCTCTCTCTCTTTCCATCAATGTCAATTTCACTCAGTTGTAAGGAAAAGTGGTGCCTGCTAGTTTCGTTGATTTGTTGGATCTTCTTCCTCCTTCCCTTCAGTTATCAAAAATTCGTTGCCAACGGAACTTCCTGTTCAATGTCTGGCCAGCCACGCAAAAACTGATATGGATTCGCAGCAAATTATCAATCCAGTTTTCAAATTTGGGTAAGGTTTTTACGGTAATGGTTCATATAACGATTACTTGACACAAAGCTGAGGAATACAAAGGGAGAATGAGGAACCATCCAATAAGCATAGAAAAATATTCTAAGCCAGAAAAAGTAATAAAAGACAAGACTAAAGTGGATAACGATAGATCGTCCACCACTGAGGTTCATATTGGGCATTTCATTTCTCACCTGTCACTAAAGATCCCGCCAATATGAAATCTGTCTACTGCGAACTGCGAACGGTTTTTAGGTATTTATGAAAATCATTTCAGGAAGATTTCATAGCCATTAGCGTACTCTGTCGACAAGTAATCAAATTATGCCAATTTGACAAGAAGTTACAGGTCGCTTTTTTAACTCTTCTTCTTTCTGTACAAGCCCGCAAGAGCTCCAGAAAATTTTTCATCCGTTCATGACATTCATTCTGGAGCCAGTCTGAAGCTACTGTAACGCTCCAGCGCCGATTTTTTAAACTATGCTACCTTGACCTGTGGTCACTGATCTTTTTTTTTAGTTACTGGTCTTTTGCTTAAGTTCATGTTTCGTAAATTTCTGGAAGACTTCATTTGTCTGGTATCCGTAATGCTTTTTATATTTAGTAGAATGTGCTACGAATAGGCTATACAGATAGGCCTGTCCAATTAAGCGTCATCAATTGTTTTTTTTTTGAGTTACGTGTTTTTTTCTGAGCTCACCACTGTTTTTTACGCGAACCTACTACAGTTCCGGTGCGCAAGTCAATGTTCAATTCCCGAAAGACCTTTCTTTCTGAGGTATTCATTCCGGAATTAGTTTGTACTTTTTAAAATGCTAAAAGATTGGGCTATCTCGGTGTACTGACCTAGTTAGGTAGTCGTGTTTTCTTCTGGAATTACTAATATTAAGGAAATCCCGTATTCAATTAATTCATGAACGATTTTCGTGACTAATTTGGAAAGTTTGTTCAAATGATCGTTTTGCTGCTGAAACTGTTCAGAACTTCAACCACAAGAAATCGCTCTATTGTTCATCTTTTAATAAAATATAGAAACTCTTTGAGAGGACAAACTTTGAAAATTAGACTAGCACAACTAGGGAGCTGACTCCTAAAGAATTCTATAAAAATATACGCCGGTTTCAAAATGAATGGATGGAAGCTGTCTTGAAGTACACAAATTTAAGACTCACGAGGAAAAGCTATCGGTTACCTCTAAATTGGTCATGCATATCTAATTACTTCATTTTCATTGCATCCAAACATATACAAAGAATAAATATTTTTAGGCAAACTTTTAGTTGCCATGATATAGGAATTCAGTTTCAATACAATTTCTGCCACAAATATTTCGATTTTTCATTGCATAACATATTATTGAGCCCAGGATGAACTCACCACAGAACTTTGCATTCTTTTCCTCTAAAACGAGAAATACGAAAACCGTTTGGTTTTAAAGTGTATTTTTGATCAGAAATTCACAAGTCACCACTGTAGTTTATGAAGATAACGAAAATAAAAATAAAGTTTCAAGGGCAACTAGAGAGTTAAGCAAAGTTAAGATGAATCTTGTAAGTTTTATCAATTTTGATCAGAAAACGGCAAACTGCTTCATTTTAACAGGGTGATAAATTCGTTTGAAACGCAGCATTGAAATAATTTTTTTTTTTT